GTCTGTCTGTCTGTCTGTCTGTCTGTCTGTCTGTCTGTCTGTCTGTCTGTCTGTCTGTCTGTCTGTCTATATTAAGATCTCAGATCTCTTTTGCAGAGTGTCCTGGGCCTGAAGGCAACTTATTAATTGTTCATAATTTTGTGTCGTTTTTGTGTCATCAGGCAGAAATTGTGATGTTTGTCTTGTACAGATAACTTTCATATCAGCCCTCTTCATTAAAGCTGACGGCTGGSCCGACTGCAGCTCAGCAGGCGTTTACACAGTCATCTTGAACTTCATGATATAATAAATACAATAAACTTTATCGGTCACCAGCTGAGGTGATCAGGCCATCTTCATGGTTAATGGATGATAAACAATGAAAACCATAAGACGTTGTCACGGGAAAACGGTCCTTGTTATCTCGTGATAATGATATATAATGTCGTTATCACGAGAAAACCATGGAATAATTATAAGCGGAAAACGGCAGCTCTCGGCTTCCGTAGTCTTGGACTAGGACAGGTTAGCACTTTGTTCCTTCTGAGYGCTATAAATCTATAAGCTAGATCTAAACTAATGGTGGAACAATGTAAACTGTACAAACACCTAGCATATTAAAATAACATGTTTAATTTGTGCATTTTTTCTTCATTACAAGGCTTCATTACAAGACGAGTTATTCTACTTGAGTGGTTCTGTATATACATATGAATAACCTTCATTTATTAGTTCTGCTATTTTTACAAAATAAAATAAAATGAAATAAAATAAATACAGCATGAGCTGCTAACTGGGTTGTCTATTTTATAATGACAAACAACTTTTAATAGTTCTGTGTTCGGGTTGTGGTCCAAGGTAGGGGACTGCCTTGGATCGTAAAATACTAAGACAAAAAAAATTACACCATTAACCAACAGCATACTGTATATTTTGGTTTTTCAAATAAGATGGTGAACATTTGCTAAAAATAAAACCTAAAATAAGATTTAAAAGCTAAACAGATATTTGCTCCCAAGCCTCTACAATGGACTGTTCCACAGCCCGGCTGCACAAACAACCGGTCCAGTTTTCAGTTTTAGTAGCATCAAAAAAAAAAAAAAAAAAAAAAATCAGAGAAAGGAGGTCAGAGATAAATTTTTAGCTAAATTGCAAAAGGTAAAAGACTTTATAACTATCTGGAGCCAACACAAGGCAAGGAGTTACAACAACAAAATCCCAGGTACACTCTTGTTAGCATTGCTAATGCTAAATAAAACGAGTTGCAACACCAGAAGTGTTTAAGACTGATAGAGACATGTTCTTAGAAGAGTTATCATAACTCATTTTATCTATGCCATCAGAACCAAGTGAGATTATGTAAGTATATGATTTGTATAACAAAATGTAAATTTCATTGAATTTGTTTTTTCTGAATTTGTGTTTATTGGACTTTAACTATAGCCGACTTGTGTCTTCTTTGTTCACTAGGTGGGGGCTGTGCTGGTTGTTGGACCAAATATAAATCTACTTCTAGAATGCCAGTAAGAAGTTGTTTCATCTGTGTCTACTTTTGTAATTACTATAATCCAGTCTTGTATTGTGACCAACCAAAAAACATCACGTTTATCTCATTAACTTGATGAATGTATACATTTGTTTAATCTACAGGTTTATAGTAATAATTGTCTTACCAAAATATAATAATAAATTCAGCTTTGGAACGTTCTTCTTGTAAGCAGTGTTTCACTGCAAAGACAATAACTGTATTAATTAGACCTGTTCAAGGGCACAGACATATTTCTAGATTAGTGTAGTGTTACCAGTTTAATTTACTTACTAAATCTTAAAGAACAATCTATTTATCTGTTTTGACTTTTTGTTCAGGTCTCCACCACCCAGGAAGATGCAAAGACACATATCTTCCTGCACGCCCAGAATAATCCTGAAAGGTAAGATTATTTTTTAAAGTATCAGAGCCATATGTTAGGCTATGTCCAATATTAGGCATAATTTACACATTCAAACTCATTGAACACTTGTGTCAACAAAACATTATTTATAATATTTAAAGGTCTGGATTGTGTTCAGAACAAACATGTAAAACTGGGATAATGAAAAATAAAATATTCAGCCAGTTTGACCAGAAACATTTGTTTATAAATCATTTTGTAATGAATTTGTTCATTTTATTATAGTGTTTACACAAATTAAATCAGTTTACATTTGTTAGATTAACTAAATGCTAACATTGGGATTAAAAGAACTTGGTATTTATTGCTGACTGCGTATGCAATTTACCTTAGGTTTGACTTTTAAAAAATGTCTGCGGTGTGTTTTTATTGTACATTTTACATAATAAATTTTTTTTCAAAGGAAATTATTTGTCATTTTAATTTTTTTTCAACAACTACAAACTAACTATCATAAATAATGTTAGTATACAGTTGAGAAACATCTTGTGAAATAATTAAATTTTGCAGAAATAAACTGTTTCTTCATTTTTCAGTATACCAAAGAAGACAAATTGGTTAAAACTGCTGTTATTTACTTTATTACAGTATTACTGTAGGTTTTACATTATTTTTACTGTAAAATGAAAAACAGCAACTACTGTATCTAATTTTTCATTCGTTATACTGTAAAAAAAAAAAAACAACTACAGTAACGACTGCATTTTGTTTTACGGTAGTTTTACTGTGAAATAAAAATACAGTTACTTTCTGTATTTTGTTTTACAGTAGTTTTACTGTAAAATCAAAAACAGTAACTACTGAATGTACTGTATTTACGTTAAAACTACTGTAAAAAATACAGTAAGTTACTGGATAAAAATTGTCAGTAAGTTACTATACATTTAACAATAAATCGTTTACAGTGTAGAGACACCAGATGGTTGGTTTGGACGTGTCCAGAGGAGGGACAGTGGGTATACTGGTTTGGATGTGTCCATGGGAGGGACAGTGGGTATATTGGTTTGGATGTGTCCAGAAGAGGGACAGTGGGTATATTGGTTTGGATGTGTCCAGAAGAGGGACAGTGGGTATAATGGTTTGGATGTGTCCAGAAGAGGGACAGTGGTTATGTTGGTTTGGATGTGTCCAGAAGAGGGACAGTGGGTATATTGGTATGGATGTGTCCAGGGGAGAGACAGTGGGTATATTGGTTTGGATGTGTCCAGAGGAGGGACAGTGGGTATACTGGTTTGGATGTGTCCAGGGGAGGGACAGTGGGTATATTGGTTTGGACATGTCCAGAGGAGGGACAGTGGGTATATTGGTTTGGACGTGTCCAGAGGAGGGACAGTGGGTATATTGGTTTGGGTGTGTCCAGAAGAGGGACAGTGGGTATATTGGTTTGGATGTGTCCAGGGGAGAGACAGTGGGTATATTGGTTTGGACATGTCCAGAGGAGGGCCAGTGGGTATATTGGTTTGGACGTGTCCAGAGGAGGGACAGTGGGTATATTGGTTTGGGTGTGTCCAGAAGAGGGACAGTGGGTATATTGGTTTGGACGTGTCCAGAGGAGGGACAGTGGGTATACTGGTAGAAGGATGTCAGAGATACAGCTGCAGGAAAAAGACAGAGGACATTGAGGACAGAGTCAGGACATGAAGAACATAGTGAGGACATGGAGGACAGGGTGAGGACAGGGTGAGGACAGAATGAAGACATGGAGGACAGGGTGAGGACAGGGTAAGGACAGGGTGAGGACAGAATGAAGACATGGAGGACAGGGTGAGACAGAGCAGATATTGATCTGCAACATTTAATGAGTTCTTTCTGACAGCACATGTCCTGATGATTGCATTAAAACACACTTATATAAACTTTTTAAACTTCTATAAACAACAAAGAGGAGAGAATTTCTCAACAATGAYGAGATAATAAATAAACAACAAACAAACAATAATGCAGATCAGGGTGAGTCTACAGCTGCTTAACTGAGAAGAGCACTGAATTATTTGTAGATTAGAACTGATTCTGAAAGAGGTCACACTTGGATTTTTAATGTTGGTCATGAAGCAAAGCAAAAACTGATGTAACATAAAGTCAAATTATTTAAAGGGAACCCTGATTAGTTTTATCATTAGACTTTATTTGATAAACATATATTTTAACTGTAAAAAAAGACTG